AGATCTTAGCTTGGTGTATCTGGACTCCTCTGAACTAACACATCTCGCAGTCTCTCCTTTATTTGAACCGAGGCACTTGAACATAAGGCTCATGGCATGGGTTTAGAATACAGAGACTTCAGCAGTTAGTGGAGGGAGTGAAGGGGAACTTACATCGTCTATAACTGAATAGGTTCATGCGGAGGAGTGAGCTGGCGGCAAAGGCTTTGTTGAGGAGGTGGGACAAGAGGGCAGGGGTGCTGCACCAGGGTGAGCAGAGTGTACAGGTGCGGTGAGAGGGCAGCAGGGACAGTGTGAAGAGGAACAGAGGACAAATACTGGGGAGCATGTGGAGGGCACTGAAAACCAAGCAGAGGCCTGGGGATAAGATATGAAACACAGATAATCATCATTAGGGTGTATGTGTATGAAACAGAGGGAGAGACAGAGAGAGAGAGAGAGAGAGAGGAGGAGGAGGAGGAGGACAACGGTCCCATTTGGACATCAGGGTTTGTAAACTAGTTTGGGGACTGCAGAAAAACTGGGAAAAGGGGAAGCAGGGAGGTCAGGGGGACGTTAAAGATCAAGGTCTTCCCTGGCAGGGATGAGGACCACTCCTAGGTCAGGTTGCAGCAATTGCATGATTCCGTGAGGGAGGAGGCACTGGCAGGGGTCTGCTGTCTGGAAAATGAAGCACCCACGTTTGCAGGCCCGGCGCTCTGAAGAAAGGAGGACCCTCAGGGGTGCACTGTGGTGGCATTTTGAAAGAAGTTCATTGATGCAAAGTCTCAGTGAATGTGGCCCCTATGTGCAGTAATGTACACTGAACAAGATCTTGACAAATGTTTCATGAATAAATGCACATGTGGGCTTGGGAGCCATAATTGGACACTCTGAAGGAAACATTCTCTGGACAGCTGGAACATACACCAAGGGACTGAGGATCATGGAGCCCCACCTGATCCCCACCTCCAGCATACACTGGAGAAGCAAGAAAAATTTGCAAATGTGACAAAGGAACAGAGCAAGAAAACAAGAAGATGCTTTCTTGAGCCTAGGTTTTGGAGAGGCTTGGCGGCATCGTCAAATGCCACAGAAATCTCTTGGTCACGGGCAGGTTTCTGCAGAGCAGAGCACAGGACACAGAGTATAATGGTATTTATCCCTGGGGCAGGGAGGGCATGAGCCATCTGCCAGGCAGCAGTGTCCTTGGACATGGTGCTCCTACCCTGCACCTGCTTTCTGTGGCTTTCCAGTACATTAACAAGTGTTCTTACAGAGCGCAGAGCAGCCCACCCTGGCAGGCGGCAGAGAAATAAGCACACAGCTCCGACCTGACCTACAAGCACGAGACCACGTGAGTGTTGGACCTGAGTTCTCAGGGGACTGGGAATGTGCTGGGTTCTAGGAAACAGGAGACTTTAGATATCTTTTTAAAGAGCTTCGGGGTACCTGGCCTTCCTCTTGATTTGCAAAGATTTAAGGGTTGTGTCTCAATCAGCATTTAAGCTGAAAACAGTCACCCTGTGCTGCCATTAAGCAAATGAGAAAAGGGTAAGCCAGGAGTCACAGTCTATTGGGGTGGACTAGTGAGCTTACTCAAGCACACTCGGGGGGCTTTTATGAACAACGCATCAGCCTTGGCGTGTGCCTTGAGTGCTGCTGCTCTCAAGCAGCCCAGGGTCCTCCTGGAGGCATCACATGCAGGACAAGGAGAAAGTAGGTCTGAATCAGGCCAGGGGCAAGGATGAATGGAAGCCCATGGCTGTGAACTTCCGAGGTTTGCTGAGAGACTATCAGCCACCGTCTTCTCCACACAGCCACCAGATGTCTGCTTCCATTTACCCAAGTCCCAGGAAGACTGTGGTGTGTGCCACCTTCAGGGGGATGCGTGGCGCTCATATCCAAAGTTTATTTAGCATGTCATGTTTATAAGCAACTCAGCTAGGTTCTGGGTAAACACCAGAAGGCAGCTTGGGCTCCTCTAGAAAGATCAGTGGAGTACCAGGAAGGCACACAAGCCTGTGTGGAAGGCTTCCAGGTGTTCAGCCACGTGACTCAAGTGTGGCATCAGCACTGAGGTGCAGCCTTTGTACCTTACTGATCTCTCATAAATGTTGCAGTTTCCCCAAGGCTGTTTCTTTGCTGGGCCATCACCATGGGCTGTGGGGTCTTGCTGCGAGTTCTCCAACAGCCTGATCAGAGGCGTCTGTATGTGACACAAGAGGGCTCAGCATTCAGGGCCAGCACCCCCGTTTCCCCTCAGCGCAGGCCATGGTGGAGATAGTGGCAGTGTTCGGGTTCCCTCAGAGACTGTCCCTACCCTGTCAGGAGCAGACGATGGTGGAAGCAGTGTGACTGCATGGTGCATGGAGCTATGCCCGTCCCTGGGCTCCAGTTGTGCTGAGATACCATTAAAATTCAAAGCAAGAGAGGGCTTGTTCGGCAATTATAAACATCACTCAGGATTAAATGAGAGTCTGTTTCTGATACTGGTAGGGATGCCAGTTGGGTGTCTGTTCAATAATACCCACAGGCTTGCTCTGTGTGATTCTTTGAAGGGCCTTGGAATTATTCGAAAGTCCACGTGTCACTGGGTTTAAAGAGAAATCTGAAAACACAAAGAGTGGGCGTGGGTAGGGCTTGCTGGGTCAGGGCCATTTGGAGAAAAGCATTGCTACAGATTGGCCAACATATGACCCCGGTATGTGCCTGTGATGATTTGGTGACCTCAGAACTTGAGCCAGACTAACTGAGAAAGAGACGGGCAAAGAGCTTCCACACTAGTAACCCCATGTCCCCTAAGAGAAACTATTGAGTGGAAAAGAAAATTCACACCATTTCTGTGTACATTTCTGGAGAAGACCCATTTCCCATCCTCTTCCCCCTCAGCCTCATTTTCAGTGCCTTGGACAATCAAGAATCATGAATATTTTTGAAGGAAAAATTTTGACTACTCCTCTTTGGTGTTGAAATTAAACCAGAACAAAATGACTAAGTAAGCACCTGCCATTTTGGAAGGACTTGTTAAATTCATCTAGGAATGTTACAGGTGTGGGCAAAACCTACCTAAGAAACCACATGCCACGAGGCTGCACACCTGGGAAGCCACTATGGTGTTAGGGAGAGGCGCGAGAGGGACTGCAGAGTAACTGCTCCGGGAGAGGCAGCAATCGTATTTCAAGAACATCAGGTGCGTTTTATTACAAGAATTGAAATTTCAGTCTCATTGGTAACTTGTCCGTGTACTCCAATATCAGAAGCAGCTTCCTCCTATCAATCTCATATTGCTGCAACTTATTTGTTGAATAACCAGCTATGCTACTGGGAAGTGCTCATTGTTCTCTTGCACTAAAGGAGCGTTCATGATGATCCAACTTTCCTGTCAATTAGCCCCTAGAAAAATCCTGGATCAGTAACAGCTATTTCCCTGTTAGGAAACCTGGAAGTTGGTAATCCACCAGAACTGGCGTCACAAATCAGAAACACGTAGCAAATTCACGAGTATAATTTGCTCTTGACCAGCTTACATTGTGTACAGGTTTATACCAGCACGAAAAAGAGTAAATCGAATAAAAGATGTTTGTTTTAAGAATTCTCTTCTCTGAACAGTGGCCCAGTGAATTGACTTTTCCATTCCAGGTGATCTATATGTTTTCAAGTACCTACAAGCATCAACATGGCAGAAAGAAAAGTGACTGAAAAAATGAGCTGGTGGCAGAGGAAAGTGCTGATTATGAAGGTCATCAGATTTTCGGGGATACACGGTTGGGTCACAGCTGGCACCTGCCAGGGGCCTCAGTCCACAGCTGTTATTTGTGCTGCAGTCATCGCTGGGTGATCAACAATGACCAGGGGGGTGCGGGGAGGGCTTTGGGGAAGGGAGGCAGGTTCCGGAGCATAACCCAGAGGAATAAGCATATTTCCGCACAAATAACAACTCCAACCTGTTTCAGTGTCATAGTATTCGTAGTATCCATACCCTGTTTCAAGTAGTGCCTCCAACTGAACCAAACTTTCTGAAACAAATGACTCCGCAGAAAGAGGTAGGTAATTGCTGGAGGTTACCGAAGGTTTATTTGGAATGACACAGCACTGAAAACATAACTGTTACAGATGACCTGTGGATACAGCATACATCACTTATCTTGTTTTAGGACAATCTGAGATGAGTTGCACAAATATTAAGAGTTGGAAATATATAGGAGCTTTTTTTTTTTTTTTTTTAAATAGTGTTCTTTGGGGGTGGACATTGATGCCCCATCAGCCAGCCAACCTTTGAAAGGGAACACGACAGAGCTGCTCATCCCGACTAGCTTAACTCCAACCACAGCAGCTGGAAGCTTAGATAACAAAGCTCTGCTTTCTCCAGAGGGATGGCAGCCAGGACATGCTATCTGTCACTGCGTCCTGACAACCACATTACAAAACACAGATACCGTCGACTGTTTTGGCAATGGGATGGCTGGTTTTGCCCTGAGGCAAAACTGCACCTCGAATGCCAGACAGAGCAAGAGCAATGCATGTATCAATGACACTCGGGAGGCAAAGAGCTATGATGGAACGAAAGGAAGCAACTATGTATATGTAGCTTCGTGCATACACATAGATCCGCGAGTGACGGCAACTAGCATGTGGAACTGTGTGGCCAGATATACAGAGAGAGGGAGGTGCTGGAACAGAATGTTCTCCGCAGCAGTTGAGTTTGAAACACAGTCAACTCGAAAGGGAGAGCGAGCACATGCTCACACCTGTGCAGGGGAAGATAATCTTGTACTACAGGAAAATTCGCCACGTCTTCGGCAGGGCAGCCACTCAGGACCATACACTTGGTGCAGAGAAATGAAGGTTCTGGTCTGGAGAAAGCTACTTTAGAAATGGTGCGAAGGGATCAAGGACAAGAGTCTCCACAGCTTGGACAACGCACAAAGAAACCTGTTATGGATAACGTGGGAAACAGTGAGGACTTTTTCTGTAATTGTTTTTCTTTTCTTTTCTTTCTTTTTTTTTTTTTTTTTTTGCACACATGCTCCACTGATATCTTTCCAAGCTTTGTCTGGCACCAGCCTGTACATCATTAAGAGTGCAACAGCAGAGGTGAACTCTTTGGGTTTTCATGGAAGTTTAAAAACCCCCAAACCAGGCTCTTTCTTTAATATTCTTGGCCCTAATCCAGGCGCCGGGTGAAGTTCTCTGGAAAGAGGCCTTTGTAGGTGGCAAGGTCTCTGTACTGAAGCCAGTCTGATTCCTTCACTCCCACCAACCAGCCTGCATCCTGCAAGACAAAGACAGGGCGTTCAAGGACCAAGAAACTACTGGAAAAATCTGCACTGCCAACAGTTAACAGTTAACAAAGTAATTTAGCGTAGTGATCCTGTACCAGGATGTTACATTATATATCAGCCAGTGTGCTGAGATAGGTCAGTGGTAAGGGTTGTCCCAAATAGGTTGCTAGGTAAAAAATAAATATTTTTTTTAAATAATAATTATAAATAAATAAATAATTGAAAATAAAAAATATAAATAAATAAATAACAACAAACATTTGAGATGATTTATTTTCTGGATTTGTGAAAGCTAACTGTTAATACAAATGGTATAATTTTGTCTAAAGTAGAGCTCATTGACGTTAACTGGATTATGACGAGTTCTTAAGGAAGAGAAAAGGATTAGATTGCTAGCTAGGCAAAGAGAGGACACCACATGAAAACATGTAATGTATAGGAAGGCTCCCTATCCTGTAGGTCACAGTAAAAAGTGACAGAGGACCGAGGTCAGAATACAGTGTGGATGAGGCCATGGGAGGTTTCGTATTCCATCCCGAAGCACTGGCTTATAGGAGAGAACTCTGTGCCTACAAACTACAAAGCAGTTTGTTGTCGTGACATTCTTGCTGGAAACATTCACATAGTCTTTATGTATCCTTTATCAATTATTCCTCCAAAACATTGGTCCATCTTACAGGAGTAACATAATAAGAATCAAGACATTTAGCCACAGAAAGAAAACTGAAACCACCATGTGTGGCCTTTCAGCTTGAGAGACAATATGTTAAAATGAGGAATGGAGGCTGTTATTTGCCTTTGGCCTCTTGCAGATAAGCAGAGCCTGGCTGGAAAAGGCTAAGTGGAAGGAACAGCATGAAACATACAGACTGTATAATGCAAAAACCAGCAGGAAATGACTCGTCTTGATTATGTTAACCAGTCCATGAAACAGATCCCATTTAGGATGAGGGATGGCCAGATTTAATCTGAAGCAATTCTCAACAGAGTTCAAGTACATCAGATAAAACGAGGTCTCCAAAATTAAACAAAGAAGCTGAACACATTCCCTCTTGATGTAATCTGAGACTATAAACTGATGCTGCTATACTAGCAAGATAAGCATTTAGACAGGCCAATTTTTGAAGGCAGAAAAAAAAAATGGAGAAAAAGATGACTTAATAAAATGACTGATAATATCCTGGCTAGGAGGAAGAGTGCCCTCTTTAAAATTATGATGTTATATATGTGAAGGGCAAAGTTATACTTAAAATAAATGATGATAATTCAATTTTTTCTGAATCTCTGGCAGCATCTAAAAGGCTATATTTTCTCCCACAAGTGTCTATAGTTGACTTTATTTACAATGAGTGAAAAATCTAATGGAGCCAAGCAGAGTCATGCATTTCGAAATTGTTTCAATAAAGAAAAAAGTTAAGAACTGGCACAAACTCATAATCGAGATATAGTCTAACGTGTATTCTAAAATACAATTTATATAGTAAAGTGAAAAACATTAGCCAGTATCAATTAGCCAGTATAAGTATCAATCTCTAGCTAAGGCAAATAGGAAAAATTAAATTTTAACTTCTTAAAGTATGTGATAGATGAAAGATTTACAGTTCTGGAAATGGCAAATAGTTTGTATCAGATAAGTGCTTCTGCATGAAACACTTATAAACACTAGAATAACTACATATCTTTAGATATCCATATGTACATATATTCAACTATTTATATAAATGACTTATAAAACAAAGCATAAAAAGTTATATAATGGGATTGTTACAAACAATGGGGTTGACATATATAATAATTATTTGAAGGCACTGGCAGTAACCAAAAGCAGGCAAAACCTGGAGAATATTTAACCCTGGAAAGTAAGAAATTGTGGTGAATGAGATCCGTGGTAATACAGCTTTCCCCCTGAGGATTATTCTCAAGTCTGTTTGATGCAGGACATTAAAAGGAAGAGTGAAGGGCTTCCAGAGCAGCTGTATTTTTTAACAATTTTTTTTTTTACTTATTTTAGAGAGAGAGTGAGGGCATGAGCAAGGGGAGGGGCAGCGGGACGGAGGGAGAGAATATTAAACGCAGGCTCCACACCCAGCACAGAGCCCAACATGGGGCTCAAGCTCATAATCATGAGAGCATGACCTGAGCTGAAATCAAGAGTTGGAAACTTAAGAGGCTGTGTCACCCAGACACACAAGCAGCTATATTTTTATGGGGGATATTTTAAAAGAGATCTGTAGAGGCAGGTTACAAAATATGCAGAGAAACTTCCCTAAAATCCTAAGCTGCTCCCAAAATTTGTAAATATACAGGGTGGCCCCCAAGGAGTCTGGGATAAGCAACAGGAGGAAGGCAGAACAGCTGAGAGGAAATTTAAGCCCTGCCAATGGAGGGGAGGCAGAGTTTGAAGTTTGAATCCCACCAAGTTAGGAAGCTTGGACAAACGTTCAGGATTTCTACTGAAATCCCAGAAGGGCCATCCTTGGAAGTAAAAGGTGTCTCAGGAGTAGGAAGTCACCCTAAAAGTAAAGGCAAAATTGAAACAGAATCACCCTAACAAAGTATAAAACAAAGCTTCCATGAATTCAAGCTAATTATCTAGTAAGTTCCATGTCTGCTAGGGGGGAAAGAAACTAGCTTCAGAGACAAAAAGTAGAATCCAGACCCTGCAATGTGTCCAATATCAATAAAAAATTACTGGATATGAGAAAAAAGAGGAACATACACCCCACAGATAAAAGGCAACTGATACAAATGTGTGCCGAGATGGGCTAGTGTTTTGGAGTTAGCAGTAGGAGTAATGCAGCTATTACAAATATTTACAAGTATCTAACATTGGAAGTGGCTATCATGAAAGAATAGATAGGAAATTTTGTGAAAGAAATGTCAACTAAAATAACAAACAAAAAACTACATGAACATTATAGAACTCTGTATGTATAGCGTCTGAAATGAAAACCTCACTGGATAAGCTTCACAACCAACTTTAACTTAGCAGAAGAAAAGATCACTGTACTTGAAGACAAACCAATAAAAATGGTACCAGAGTACCAGAAAGAAATAGTGCATAAAAAGGACAGTCTTAGACATTGAGAAGTCCAACAGATGAATAATTAGGGAATCACAAAAGAGGACAAAGAGAATGAGGCACCAAAAAAATGTAAGAAAAATTAGCTGAAAGTCTTCAAAATATAATGAAAAACATCAGGTTACAAATCTAAGCAGCTCAGTGAACCCCAAGCATGAAAACTACAAAAAATACAAGACCTAAGCATATTATATTGAACTGATGGAAATCAAAGGTACAGAGAAATTCTTAAAAGTGGTCCGGGAAAAAGGCACATTTACCAGAAACAATGGTGAACAAATGGCAGCTGAACTTTAGTCAGAAAAAACAGAAAACAGAAAACATCTTAATTTTTTAAAATTTTTTAAAAGATCATATTTATTTATCTGATAGAAAGATAGCACAAGTAGGCAGAGTGGCAGGCAAAGGGAGAAGGAGAAGCAGGCTCCCCACAGAGCAGGGAGCCTGATGTGGGACTCAATCCCAGGACCCTGGGATCATGACCTGAGCCGAAGGCAGCCACTTAACCACTGAGCCACCCAGGTGCCCCGGGACAACATCTTTAAAGAGGTGAAAGAAATAAAAGTCAATTCAGAATTCTTGCTCCTACAAAAATACAGAGTCACATAGACCAGTTGAACAGACTAGAGTGCCCAGGTATGAACCCACAACTCTATGGTCAAATAATCTTCAACAAAGCAGGAAAAAAATATCCAGTGGAAAAAAGACAGTCTTTTCAATAAATGGTGCTGGGAAAATTGGACAGCTATGTATACAAGAGTGAAACTCAACCATTCTCTTACATCATACAGAAAGGTAAACTCAAAATGGATAAAAGACCTCAACGTGAGGCAGGAATCAATCAAAATCAGAGAGGAGAACATAGGCAGTACCTCTTTGACACTGGCCACAGCAACTTCTTTCAAGACAGGTCTCCAAAGGCAAGGGAAACAAAAGTGTCTCATGGTTCATCTCCCCCTCTGATTTCCTCCAACTCACTTCTCCTTTCCTTCTCCTCATGTTCACCGTGTTGTTCCTTATGCTCCCCAAGTGAAATCATATGATAATTGACTCTCTGCTTGAATTATTTCACTCAGCATAATCTCCTCCAGTCCCATCCATGTTGATACAAAAGTTGGGTATTCACCCTTTCTGATGGAGGCATAATATTCCATTATATATATGGACCATATCTTCTTCATCCATTCGTCTGTTGAACAGCATCTTGGCTCTTTCCACAGGTTGGCGACTGTGGCCATTGCTAGGGTACATATGGCCCTTCTTTTCATTACATCTGTATCTTTGCAGTAAATACCTAGTATTGCAATTGCAGGGTCATAAGGTAGCTCTATTTTTAAGTTCTTAAGGAATCTCCACACTGTTTTCCAAAGTGACTGCACCAACTTGCATTCCCACCAACAGTGTAAGAGGGTTCCCCTTTCTCCACATCCTCTCCAACACGCGTTGTTTCTTGTCTTGTTATTTTTGACCATTCTAACTGTTGTAAGGTGCTATCTCAATGTGGTTTTGATTTGAATGTCCCTGCTGGCTAATGATGATAAACATTTTTTCATGTGTCTGTTAGTCATTTGTATGTCTTCTTTGGAGAAGTGTCTGTTCATGTCTTCTGCCCATTTTTTTGACATGATTATCTGTTTTTTGAGTGTTGAGTTTGAGGAGTTCTTTATAGATCTTGGATATCAGCTCTTTGTCTGTAGTGTCATTTGCATATATCTTCTCCCATTCCGTGGGTTGCCTCTTTGTCTTGTTGACAGTTTCCTTTGCTGTGAAGAAGTGTTTGATCTTGTTGAAGTCCCAAAAGTTCATTTTCACTTTTGTTTCTCCTTTGCCTTTGGAGACCTGTCTTGAAAGAAGTTGCTGTGGCCAATGTCAAAGAGGTACTGCCTATGTTCTCCTCTCTGATTTTGA